AAATTTCTACTAACCTGTTTCCTACTTATTCTAGTCTAGCTCTGAAGCTTTTAACCATCTACCTAAGCTGTCCCACACATCCTCTATGCGATTCAAGTCCAGACTCTTTCCAGCAATATGCGGACAAGCATTATCCTGCATAAAAAATTGGTCGGCTATAAAATGGTTAAAATATGGTACAACATATTGTTCCTATATCGATGTTACGTATCTGTGCTCATCCAGTTGTAACGAGTTCTGTATGAGCCTCCAATGATATGCCACCCCAGACAATCACAGATCCTCTACCAAATTGCACTGTTCTCACAATACTGCAGATTCGTCTGTACACCTTTCCTCGTCGATTCTTGTTCACCAGAGAAAATCTGGATTCATCGCTGAATGAAACACGACTCCAAGAGGCTTACTTAGAATCGTTTGTCAAACTAATGAACTAGTAAAGTGTCTACGGACTTTGTATCTAATATAAATAGTGTAACTAATGTATATTATGTTGTATGTATATATAAGGGTAGAGTAAACAAAGGAATAGATTTTTATGGGTGGATCGTTTTTTAATTCAAAAATTTAACCCAGTGCACTGCATTGTCAGCCTGACACTATTGTTGTTATTCATTCACCGAATTTTACTTAAAAAACGAGCGGCTGTAGTGTAAAAGGTTGTCATAACAAATTTGAGATAGTTTATTTGCACGTTCTCTGTAGATGAAGAAAATGAATTTTGGCGTTCTACTTCCAAAACACGGGCGAGTATGTGTGGACCATTTTGCCAGAGATAAGTGGGAAATTTTTGGCAACAAACTGAAAATTCATGCGGTTCCATCTACATATATGTATATCTTTCATACTATGGATCTTGCAAGTCAACCAGAATCTACTGTCTACTGTTTTAGTAAAAACCAATGTTTTTCAAAGCAGGATTATTTGCAGGAAAAATAAAATGCTTAGAAAACAGCTCCTAATTTTAAGATGAAATAATAAGAAATTAAGTAAATAATTATTGCTACAGAAAATTGCTTTTGAAAAACTAAATCAAGATCTGAAAGATCTTTTTACTGACCATCAAATTCAATTCTTTAAATAATAAAAAAAAAAATCAAAATGTTGATTTACAATTTGCTCCAAAATTAAACATGGATGTTTTAAAAACTGACCATTTTAATAAAATGGAAATTTCGAATTCATTAAATGTTATCAACAGAAACGTTAGTAATGCAATGAAATTTGATGCGGAAGAAATGGAAGATGTAGTTTCAATAGAACACCTTTTTTCATTGGCATGGTGTATACATAGTTAAAATTGAATAGTTGTAGATCGAAGATGTTAGCTTTAAGCAAATTTAATTTGAGAATCTATTTAGAGACTTCGAAATTTTTAAAAGATATTCTAGATTTATTTTCAACCATAAAAGTCGCTGCAAATCAATTCGGAAAAGTTTCTTGACGGTTTCCAAGAACGGATGTTGCGATGAAATTGCGGTGGGACGGACGGTGACGGTTCGGAATTTTGCCGATAACGCGTGGGAGCGGCGTGCCTCGGTACCAAGCCTTGGGCCGACTAGTGCCGCTGAACTAGAATGACTTGACTTGACCTGACCTGACCTGACACGGGGTGGCGCGTTCGGTCGGGAGCGGCGGTCGCTCGGGCGCCGGCTCCCTCTCCGGGGGAGGGAGCACCGAGGTTGCTCTCAAACCGGAGACACGGATCTCCAGGTGGTAAGCGCCCGCGAAAATAAAAAAATAAAATAAAGCAGATTAAAAGTTTAAACAATAATCGGGTTTTATTTCCTGCCATCAGCTACACGACTAAAATAAATCTTACGGCTAATTCTTCAAGCAAGAATCCTCTTTTTCGGCCGCGAAAATACGCTTCGTTACAACGTGGTACTAAGTATCACTTCAATTTTGAATCTTAAAAATGTATTTTTAAATAAATAAAATGCTACTTACTAACATCTACTAGAGTTTCGCAAGACTGTATGGAAAATCTTTTTTCATAAACCCGAGCTCGCCATCTCTTACCGATAAGAATTCAATTTAAATATGATCTAAAACTTTTCGCCGTGTCACAGGATCTTGCTGCATATAATACAGGAAGCAGTACTTACCAGTGGCGGCTGGTGGGTCAAAATTTCGGGTCGGCCAAATATTTTGAGTCTACACCTTGGTGTTATATATTTTCGTAATGTATGGCTGCTACTCATTAACCACTGACATTTTACGTGCCAGGATGTACAAAACATCTCAAATGTTTCGACCTGTTAAAATAATTTTTTATAGGAAATTCACAATGTCAGTTTGATTCCAAATACTATTAATCCTTAATTCTACTTGTTCTGCTTTATCATTAATTGAGAACCACCGAAAACATTATTTTTACTGAGTTCCGCGTCGACCGGCGGCTATACGGCTTGCCGACCCCGGACATCCACAATTAAATAATAATAATTAAATAATGACATGCAGTTAAAAAATATAAAAAAAAGTAATAATAAAAGTACCAACTGTTAACTATCTTCATTTACATTAATTTTTTTTTTTAATGTATATGACAAATTGTCAAATAAATTAATTGAATAATTGAAAAATTAAAATGATTTAAAACTTTAAATTCGTTTCTGAAATATCTGAAAACGCTTAGATGCTAAAAATACAGAAAAAGCGCATTTATGTTGTAGCTAAGTTATGTACGAAAAATAAAATTTTAGATAATTTAATGTAATTTTTTTCGTTTATTATTCATACACAGGCAAATGTATTAAATCGACAATTATTATTAAAAAAAAAATAGTATGCACTGAAGAACATCGAGGCCGTTATTGTTTTGTAATTTGGTTAGCTATCTTAAATATTAAGCGTTTTAAAAACTAAATTCGCGTTGCTGGGTACGGCGAAGGAGGATTTCGCCGGACCTGGCACAACATACGTTCCGCCAGGTCTTTGTCTACTACAGTGTACTAGACAAAGAGAACGATGAAACCGTAAGCTGCTACGAAGTCGAAACATCGAGCATAATACATTCCTGGATACGGCGTGCCGAAATCTCGCCGGCAAAGCGTGTTTATCAGCATTTAAAATTAGCAACAAATGCTTTATTTTGTACCTACAATATAATAAAATATATTTTTAATATATATGATCTATCCTAATGTACATTCAAACTTTATTTCTTTTTTTATTTTCTAATTTCAACGCTTACTAAGTATTTTAAAATGACTGGTACAGCGTGGCCGACCCTGCCGCCCCTGACCAGCCGCCCCTGGTACTTACAATAAAACTGTTGAAAGAATATCCTTGGCTTTTTTTTAAATTATGTCAGAAATGAGAACAAAGATGGTAAAGAAAAAATGAACGCCAATTACTTATTTACTTCCGAATTTACCTTTGGATTGGAATGTATATTGGAATAGCATTTTTTAAAACAGAAAAAGAAAACGCACTTTACAATGTGCTGGTTATGTTGTTAGGAGTATCAGATATAGACATATCTGCCAAAATTGTTTTAGAAGTTTAGGATCGAAGAGCAACAGAATTATTGCGATAAGATCATATACACAATTTATGGCATTAAAAATGTCAGATAATCCTTTTCAAGCCGCCCCTTTTAGTAGAACAAGTGTTTTCTTATTTGAAACAACATTTAAACAACAAAAAAACAACAACCATTATTCGTTTGGAAACACTGTCAAAATTATATGAGAAACATTAAATGACGCCCACATTACAAGTCAATTACATTCAATTTTATAACTAAGTTTATTGTATACTGTTTAAAGATTTATAGCAGGAAGTGAAAAGATCAGATAAAGAAACAGCAGAAACTAAAACGGTGTAGCAAGAACCATGCAATGCTAATTTTGGCAGAGAATTTAAGAAAACGATGTACTTAAGAAAGAGACTTAAATCAATTTATTTTTAGTTTCGTTGTTTTAAATTATTTTTTGTTTTTCTTTTTTTTTATTCTTACCCACTTCTGACGCTACTGGTTTTTGACATTTATTTGATGGAATTTTGGATCATGAACTGGCAGCATGTATTGTGTCACGGCTTGCCTCACCCTTATTTCAATATTATCTAGGTAGATAGATTTATTGTAACAAATGTATTATGAATTACAATAATATTTTCTAAATAGTTATCATCAATCAATGTATAAGAAGTAGTTGAAGTTTTTTTTTTGTTGCAGATATAATTGTTAGATTTATGTCAGTTAAAACCAGTGAAGTAATAAAAACGTCACACTTTTGCCAATGAGAATTTGCAGACGACAACAAAATAACAGCGTAATGTATTTATAACCTCCTTAACACTACAGTGCTTTTCTGACCACAGGGATTTATGTGCTAAAATCTTTGGGTCATGTTAATTAGTTTTCTAGTGGGAATTTGCAAGCTAACAGTTTATTTTATCATATAGAACATTTTTCAACCACAATAGTCTCAATGGGCTAATGTAATGTATCTACTTATAAGAGAAAAGTACCAAAAGTAAGTTAACAAATAATAATTATTTCTGTTTACGTTTTAGACTTTAATTTATTATTTAAACTTCTGTTTTTATTTAGCATTAAGGTATAGTATAGCAGAAAATAATGTTAATTAAAATTATTTTAATAATTTAAAATTCGTACCTAATCGACAGTAAAAATTAAATTTAATTCTCGCTAAACAAAAATTACTGTCATAAAAAATAGAAGTAACTAAATAAGCACCTCACTTTTAATTGTCCGTTAATCTCGGAAACCATCTTTTATTACAATCTATTAGGGGGGAGCAAATATATCAATAGAAAACGTGCATGCACCTTATGATTGCAGTACGACTTGACCATACGACTAGAGTCTATTTTTGTATTAAAAATTAGAGCCATTTTTTTAAACAAGCATATGTCGAAAAAAGTGCGTTTTTTGTGTATGAATACAATAAATATTATTGTTTTGTTATTGACAACAAGGTGATTAAATCTCTTAAAGGTAAATATAATATGGAAATAAAACTGTATAGATTTAAAAGGTTTTTATTAAACTTATAATACATAAACCTATACAAACTTGACTTTATCATCTAATTCTAGAATTAAGTGGATTGACGATTTTCCCCGCCATCAGTGTTACGTCTATTTCCGAGTCGATGACAAAATATAGAAATGGATGATCTGCTTTGAACAGCACAGGATTGGCTCGATGCAAATATCCTAAAATACAAAAACATCAAATATTACTGCGTTTTAATAATACTTCCTCCCGTTTATAAAAACTAGGTCAGTATTTATTTTAACATAAAACAATGAATTGTCCCTCATAATTTCCTAGTGTAATTCTGACATTTTGTAATTCGACAAGCTTGCTTAGTGTTTAAACTAAACAATATCTGCAATTATCAAACAATTATTGTGTGAAAGTACCGAGACATTTCATCTATTTAAATGTTGTGTTACATCATTTAAATACTTTTTGTGTAAACTTGATTGCGTGAAACAATTTCAGGAGAACAATATTAAGATGAACAATGAATATGATGAATACAAATTTGAGATTGTTGTTAACATTACTTACGATTGTTATTCATTGTATCCGGATCTACATAATTTTTAATGTTTACGGTAATCGCTTGTTCGATGTTGGTCACGTAGATGCCTTTGTCACTGGTCATTGGCGAAAAATCCGCTTGTCTTGGTTCAAAGACTCGGTTAATTCCCATCTAGGAACATAAATATACTGTTTCATTAGTGTGAAAAGCTGACAGTGCAATTAATTAGAACAAATTAATTAGTACAAAAACATATCTCCTAAATGTGTGACGTGTATTATTATTATTAAGAATTATTTTTGTTATATAATTCACTTAAGCGAACATTAGATAGATCATATCAGTTATATTCAGAACCTTGAATGAAGGTTGCTTTTAAAAATGAAAACAAATAATATGCTGAACATTAAAAAATAAATATGCATTACAACGTTTGTGTCTTAATTAATATTAACCAAATGAACTAAATATAGGCTAATCTGATAAAATCATACATACCTTCTGAAAAGTAGAGGTCAAGATGACATATCCCTTTAACATAAAGCTAGGAATAATAGCTTTCACGTGAGTATATCTTAAATTGTCTATTATGTACTTCAAACTACTGCTCAGTCTTATATCACAAATTAATCTATTTAATTGCTTAGGATTCTCAGGAAGTAATAATAATAAATAATATTTCGAACTATCCAAAGGAAATCGCAGCGCTAATGTTTTTAGATGCGAGATATAGTGGAAGGGCAGAACTGTATCGTAAGTCATATAATTAATGTTTGTCTCTTTATATTTGTCATTAACCAAGAAGTACAAATCATTTTCGGAATTATATGGTGGAGGTCTTTGTGTAATCGCATGGTCGTCATAATATCGCGCTATGATGTAATCTACAACAGACCTTGCATTTCTGCGTGAAGTATTATTATTTTTAGATTCATCTGAATATTTAGTAGTTTCATCATTTAGCTGGACAGTGTTAGTAGTACTATCTACTACAATTGTTGTACTACTCGTACTCATTTCGGTAGTACTTTCCGCTTCTGATCCATCATTTAAGTCACTTGAATCGCTAGACTCTAATGCTTGAGTTGTTGACATCTGTATCATACTACTATCGGAAACTTCTTCTTCACTAACGATTTTATTTTCGGTAGATGTTTGGGAAAGTATTTCTTCAGTTGAGGGGGTGATTTCCGCCGTTTCTGTGCTAGTAAGGGATAATGTACTAGTTTGGCTTGAAGTAGTTGACGTTTCCGAAGCAGTTTGAGCAGTTGTTGTCTCTGTTGTAACTTCTAAGTTAGTTGTACTTTTTTGTTCTGTTGGAGTAGTTAATATGTCACTACTAGAAGTCGTCTCTATAACTAACGTAGTCGAAGCTTCCGTGTTTCCACCTGTTGTGGTTTCTTCGACAGTGGTTTGTGTTATAGTACTTGTAGACAACAATAGATCACTGTGTGTTGTTGTACTGGCTTCGCTGGTAGTCGGAACTGTTTCTGTAATAGTGCTCGGTCTTTCTGATCTAGTTATTCTTGCATTTTCTGTAGTTGTTGGTACACTTTCAGTTGTGCTAGTCATGGTAGACGTCATTTCTTCCTTTTCAGAAATTTTCTCTGTAGTAGTGCTTTGTTCGGTTGTAGCCACAAGCATTTCTGCAGTGCTTGTAGCAACATCAGTAGTGGTACCAACTTCAGTAGTGGTACTAACTTCTTCTGTAGTACTCGTAATTCCTTCGGTTGTGGAAAAATCGGGGTATAACGCATTGTTAAACGAATTAATATCAAATCCATAAAATCTAAGGATGTCCTCATATTCTCTGTTTAATGTAACGTTATCGTGACTTAGAGTCAAGCCGGAAAGAAAACCTTCTTCTGGGATGAAATAACTCTGCAATAAAGTGTTTTTTATCAATTAATGCGCAAAATGACAAAATAAGTGTTATACTTTAAGGTGGCGATGAATATCTCGGAGTCCAATGCGGATAACTGATAAATCCGAAGGAATTCCAGTGGCACGATGAATTTCAGCAGCGGCACTTCCACGAACTCCTTCTTTGAGAGCCACTAAAACACTTACAGCACCATATGGTGATATAGCAATGTTGTTATCGTTGCCTTCGTTGTGTATCTAAAAATTTAAAAGTACCATAATATTTGTTCCAGTAAATTGTTTTTAAGGGAGGTGGTGATACATGACAGTGTTTTTACATTTTTTTCCAAAAATTATATGTATAATAATTACAAGCAAAACTTAAGTAATTAACACAGTCTAAACACAATTTTTTTGACATGTTTTTAAATGTTCTTCGTAAGTGTAAATTACTACAACATGTGTACCTATATACGTCCTTCAGTTAATAACATCTTATTTCAGTGGCAAACGAAGTAACTATTAAACAGTTCACTTGTTCGGATCATGTAGTATCACTTATTATTGTTGTATACGTAATTATTTATTGTATTTTTATAAATTACGGTGTAAGTTTCACTTTAACAATGAAAATTTAATATTTCGATTACTTAAAAAAGTTACCAGCAAGTAATACCTACACCTAAATTACAATGCTATCGAACTACTTATCTTTTTGTTAACATCCTTAATTTGCATACGTTTTTATTTTTTTTCTTCACATATGATTTAATAAGCGTATGTTTTTGATAAAGTCTACAAATCAAATATCGTGTAACGAAAATCACACGAGCTAACAAAGGTAGCTAGTGTGATTTTCTAAAAACTATTTTTTCTATAAGACACGCCAGAACAAAGTGAAATAGATTACAAATCTTCGCAAAATTATATAGATAAAGAGAATCCTGGTGTTGCCAACGTCATTATTTTAATAAAATTCATGGCCCACTAGAGGACTTTTTTACGGATCATATATGTACCTAGTACACAGTAATGATAATTAAAAAACAATAACATAGAATAAAGCCGTAGTTGAAAAAAATTTTTTCATGTACAAGTCGCTCGGTATACATTTTTCAAACAGTACTACTGGAAAATTGTGATTTAAATGCATCTTACTTTCTGTAGCCCGCAGCGTTCTTTTTTTACAAAATTTTGAAGAATTTTGAAGGCATTCATCTACGAGTAGATATCTTCATAAAAAACCATGTTTATTTAAAGTTACCGTTAACCACTGTGAAGATCAAAGATCTTTTGAAGGCGACTTCAATTTGCTGACTCACCTAAATTATTATTTAAATAAGTAACAATAAGATGATTGCAAGCATAGATAGTTGATTCAACTTAGTCTTATAAAATTAACTGTATAATCTGGAGGTCAATGGCAGTTTGTGGTTTTTTTGAAAAAGTGGACGCATTTCGGCAATTAAGGAAATGTTGTCGTTTTGTGTGTTCGTGTTATTATCTTCTAATTATCAGATTCCAAAAATACTTGCTTGACAAGATATCGGAAATTACGAGAAACGTCGCGAATAAAAGAACTTTAATGAAACCTGATTTTGTCACAGCAGGATAAGTTTCTTAATAAACTGATATTATCGGCAACTTTCAAGCAATAAAAGTGGTATACATGGACGCTGACAGTTAAGTTACACACGTTGGTTTACACTTATTTCAGTTAAATGAAAATTGCTAAATAATTTAACAAGAAGTATTTTGTGAAACTGAAAAATTTTAACGAAGTAATTTTGCTTTTATGATATTGTGACAATGGTGATAAATTTAGGATCATTTAAATTGATTGAGCATAATCAGTGCACTCGCTACAATGAAATATGTATTGTGGTTTTGTTAAAACTCTAATGATGGTGTTACACAAACTCTTAATAATACGCATAATGTTGGATTACTGCTTTTAGATATTCTATGAAAATGAGTGAATGCCAGTCTACCATGGAACGGCTTCCGTTAAAGTTTAAAACGTTCCCTACAAGAACCAGAATTAAGTGTTTCTAAGAAACAAACCAGAAATTAACATTTCGTGTTTAATCTAATATCTACCCAAGTTAACAAGCTGATACGTACTGGTATAATTTCCTTTTATTCTTTTTTTCTGCTCCAATATTGTTAAAGATACGAGTACATATAAAAAGGAGATAATTCTCATAAAGCAAGATTTATTGATAATAATGCTATGTATGATTTACAATAGGATAAATAAAAAAAAAAATCTGTATTTCACATTGGAAATTTTACAAAACTGATGTAAAGTAAGAAAAATGTTCAATAAAATGTATATTGTTTAGATTGCATCAGGTTACTTATGTTCTTATGTATCACTTATTTTGCTGCATTGATCTTAATTTTTGACACTCTTTTCTCTTTTACGAAAGATTTCTTCCTTACTAGAAAATGATAACATACACTAGCAAGCGCTAGAAATCAAAAGTGTTCCAAAAGCTACATTTAACGTTTTTAACATTAAATTTCACAGTGTACTTCAAGAAGTAAAGTCATGTTCAAGGCTGCAAGATTTTTGTTATGGAATGTTTACTTCTGGTAATTAACCAGTAATTCATCTGATTAAATTTGTATTTTATCAAATGAATCGCAAGATAATTCTCTATAGTTTCAGCACTGTTGCTTATGCGGTTTTAAAATTGTTTATACAATGCTTCTTTAAAATGCAATTTAATTTTTACTGCGCAAAATCGCTTGTGTTGATTAAGATTTTTCTGAATGTTTTCCTCAAGAAATATGTCATTTAAAAAAACATATTCAGCTATAGGTGTATTTTCTTTGTTTCAAAATTTATATTTACAATAATAAATAATAATGTAAAATGTACTTTTGAATGAACATACAAATTATTTTCATAGAAAAAAATACAAACGGCAGATGCATTTGGATTTGTTTTATCAACTTCTATAATATAAATATGAAATATGAGTTTATAGAAAATAATGCAAAAAAGAAAAGCTGCACAATTGGATAATTACGAAATTTTAATTTAATTAAATGCAAAATAATTCTGAGTAATAAAATAAATATAAATAATACTGACATAAATTGGTAACTACGTTTGGTGGTACATTTACTAAACAGTCACTCACAATACAGGGAAATGTGCAGATGTGCATAATTAACAATGAGGATCATTTATAGAACTAAAAATATATGAAATGTTTTACTTGCCGCTAGTAATTTCAATGCTAGATTATTGACCACGTCTATCATGACATCCTGAGGAATTCTGTAGCGGTTGTAATCCGAACAACAAGAGTCTTGATATCCATAACACTTAATAAACAATAATATAAACAAACACACTTGCGGGAACATATTATTTCCCGCTGTAAAGAGTAGTTCCTATCGCTAACGCGATTCAGAATCAACTGCAACACAAACAATAAAATTGCCCGAGAGCGAGACCAAAGTTAAAACAGCACGTAGAATTTCAGGTGTTATTTTGGCGAGATGCTTCGCTGGTGTAAACTAATTTAAAAAATAGCAGGTATGCATGCAGGAGGTTGCAAAATAATAATTGGATACCTCCTGCAACACGACGTTTAATTTAATTTTTATTCCGCTTTTAAATACTGTGTTTTAACAGGTATCGTCAGTGACGAAACAATTGACTTTTGTTTTTGTGGAAAATTGACTAAATTAGAAATTTTTGTATGCTTTTTTTAAATAAAAGTTACAAGTTTATGAAATATAATCACCACTTAGGTAATAAGTAGTGTAAGAACCTTGGGATATTCAGCAATCAATGTTTGTACTTCTGTGCGTATCATTAATTTATGCATTCATATAACACATAATTGAAAATGACATTGATATGAGAAATGTGCTGGTGACACATATTTCGACCATCCACATACTCAATTAAATTTCATTGCCTTTTTTTGTGATTTTGTTCGAAAATGATCATTGATTCATTTTAATTCGGTTTGTAATCCGATAAGTTCACTGTAAAATACCTACTTGAACAGATCGAAAAATAAATTCGTTATATAAAGTTTAAATAGTTGGGAGAAAATGGACAAATAATTATGTCAATAATGCTTATTTGGGTTTTAAAGCACTCAGCTCACGATGCTACACAATTAATTATTTCAAACATAAAATAAATTTTTCGCTTCGGTTATCAAGAAATTCTTTCATTTTCCTTCGACTCATCATATCACTGCCTCCTTTACATATGTTTTCTTTTCTCTTTAATTTCTTTTAATGTTATGATACTCGAATTCCGGTAGAGACCCATGAAAAAAGCGATCCATTTCAAACTATGAATTGCCTGCAGTATAATTTTAATATAAAAAATGTCTCTAAAGTTATTTAGGATGAACTACCATCTCTTCTGAAGCACAATTTAAGATGAACCAACTATATATTAATATATATTTTTTCCGTGACAGCGCCTATACTAGTGCTGTGTTCTGAGAAATTTGGAAAAATTATTCATCATTTTTTATTTAATCAATAAAATTAATTGAGTCATTTATTAGGTAATTTTGTTCACATCTTGTACAAACAGTTCTAAAAACAAAAACATTGCTGAAGTGCAAAAAACGAATCATCTCGAATCATATTTCAGATAAATTCTGATTTACCATATTCATGATAAATTGAAATGCAGGCGAAGTTTTAGCATAATTGGTTTCATAGTTTCTAATTTAAATTGTAGATAAAATGTTGTGGCATAATTTCATTTATTTTCCAAAAACTTACATGCATAAAGTGGATGATTTAATAAATAACAGGTACAGACGCAAATTATTTTACACATTGCACAGATGAAGTCATCAAACTTTTGGAAAGGCCAAACAGAAGAATTCTGATTAGTTATTTACCATGATCTTCATAATCTAAAAGCATGCACAAAATTTCAGCACAATCGATTTTATAATTTCTAAGGTAAATTGTAATTTGCTATACAATTTACTCCTATATGTTTTTTTTTTATTTAGATGCCCGGACTTAAAAATAGTGTAGATTAATAATAATTCGTAACTACAGAACAGACACACAAAACTTAGCGACAAAGTGAGAAGCCTACATTTTAAGATTTAGCATTTAAGTGTCAAAACAGAATGACATAACTGAAAAACATGAACATTCACTTGACGTGTAAATGACGTTAGGGTGTTAATCTAAATTTTTACCACACTAATTAATTGTGGCTAAATCCACGTCTGCGTATAACTTATAATATGCGAGTCTCTTATGAAGTTTGACGCAAATGACGTTTCTTTGTCACTGGGTTTTGTCTGCGACAAAATTTTGGTTAGCGTTTTATCATCCACACAAACGGAAATTACTAGTCTAATAAAATCACCAAACAAACGAAAACGGGGACCTACTTTTTCGATATTTTCTTTTTTTAGACTTAATCTACTGCCATTTCAATAAACGCAAGCCTGCTCATATATTCAATTTTGTATAAAATTTTAAGATTCGAAAGTATTATTTATCACACAACTTCGTAAGACTATCCGATTAATAGGAGCAACGCCTAAAATATACGGTTTGCACGTGAAATATATTCTCAGGAACTTTGAAAAGTCAAGGAAATGTTAATGAGTTTCCGTGATTTTAAAAGTAAAGATAGTTATTGTAGTAATTAATATATGTAGGTATATTTATTTTCTAAACAAATTGTTGTCAATGGTTTGAGTATGCATATTATTATAATCTCATATTAAATGAGCATTTCAAAAAGTTTGTTGCTTTTTGTCGAAAATATTCTTTCTCAACAAAGATTTATACAATACTTCTGAAAAATTCTGGATGGCGTATGAAATTTTTACATAAATTTCCATAGCGAAAGGTACAGTATTTTGCCAACAAAGTAAAAGTTAACTAATTATGATTACTGATTAGTATGTGGAAAACAGTTAGTAATCGAAAATATATGGATATATAGATTGCCAAATTTGAGGACTTATTAAAAATTTTGGAAATTGCGGAAGGGATATCAAATGTCTAGAATATACTCGTAGGTTGTTTTATATGAAATGTTCCAATAACAAAAAACTAAGCACGCAGGACCCTTATCAAAGAGAATGATGGTGGCTGGGATTTGGTTGAGATTTTTAGGAAACTTTCTGCACTTAACCATACTGTACATTAACGCTTTTTTGTGGCAAGTCGCCGGGAAACATATTGTTACTACCTGCATGGGCGCCCATAGGGGGGGCAGGGGGGGGGGCGATGGCCCGCCATGAGATTCTGCGTCAATTTCTTTTTTATTTGTCAAAATTAAACTTCAGCACATTTGTAAGAGTAGGTACATGCCCTACACTTTCAATTTTATTGCCACACAAACACAGACCACCTGGTTTTGAAACCCTCTGTTTGGCCCACATTTCCCTGGAACCATTATAAATCTATCATTTTTAACCGGTACTGAATTATGGGTTATGGGTTGTTTCGTTATTTGCTTTTTACAGTTATTACAAGAGCAAACATTTTATTGCTTATGCCCAAAAATTCATTCTGTTTTCACTTTTTATCTATGATGAAGTGACGTGTAAAGACGAACAGTTGTTGAACCGACGTTTTATTGATTATAATTTTTATTATTCCTTTATTTCACAATTCGAGCGTAAGTACTCTTGAATAAATTTTAAAATTAATATTTTATTTAGAAACAGAGAAATATGGATATTCGAAATTTCTTCAAGAGAAAAATTGCAAATACTGATGATGATACTTCAGCTACTAAGAAGTATAAAATAAGTGGTGTAATATTTATTACAACTGATGGCGGTTTTTCAGAGTAGCCATCGACTTCTAGTGGAAATTTCGGTTGCCCCAGAACTGTTGCGCCAGTGGGCGTGCGAACTACAACACAGATAGCATGGAAAATTATTTTATAATAGGCACTTTTATTCCATACCTGGATCATTTAATTCTTTCCTTAACAACATGATTTTCCGAAACAAAAGTGTCATCATACTCATTATTTTCTTTACATTCAAAAAATATACATAACTTAAAACCAAGTTACTTTAAAGGGTTGGGCGAATTTTACTCCACTGACAATTTATCAGACGAAATCCAAAATTAGCAGGATTTTGTAAAAATAAAAAACCTTGACAGTAGTATTTGAGAGAGAGAGAGAGTTAATGCCGAAGAAACATCTGTTGGTAGAGTAATTGACGATTTTGGCCAAGAAAAAAGGAATTAGCAATTTGCTTTTGATTAATTTTATATTTTAATACATTATTAATTTTAATATTTTACACTGTTTTGGTAATAATAAGAATAATGTTGTTGTAGGGTTATTTGCGAGTAGATTTGATTAATGCAGTTGATGATTAAAATATATATTTATATGTAATAGTAAGATTTGTATCATTATATTATTTATAGAACAGAGTATATTACAAAAATTTCAGGGTGCCCCCCCCTGAGAAAAGTTTCTATGGGCGCCCATGAGTACCTGTATTACTATTTTTGCCAACTAAAGTGTTTATTCTATAAAAATGAAAAAGTCCTGGTAGACGAAAATCATCATCCGTCTCTGGAGAATTTGTAAAAAGTTGTGCTCAAAATAAGTTAAAAATCGTGGACAAAATGTTTGGCAGGAAAAAAAATAATGCCAGAGAACACACAGCTACTCGTAGATTCTTCATTTAAACACTAATAAATAACTAGATACTTTACAACTGCCTGTGATAAATAGTTCCTTATTGTAACAAAAACAAGTGAAGGCAAGTTGTGTCATAATTTCGTGTCAAAATTAGTTATTACAGTGTTTTTAGTTACTTGTCTTTATCGTGTACTTATACTTAAAATGTTGTACATTAATATTAAAAACTATTGTCTAAAATTAAAGGTAGAATTCTTACAAACTGAAAGACAAGTTGAACAAACGGGTTTTATACTGTTTTTCTGCATTGTGATTTGTATATTTTTTTGTATAAATACCGAAATACCGGCATTTGTTTGTAAATACCGGTATTCAAATATAGGACAAGAGTTGACCGGAATCGGAATCTCGGTATTGTTTATCCCTAGTATGTTTCCATACACGTCGCATAAATGACTAAAAATCTATATAAATGAAAAATTAAATTATCATATTTCTTTGTCTAATAAATGCAGATAATGTGGATCCTTAATTTTTCTTAAGTCATTAATATTTCTTGTAAGAAATTATGTTTTCTACCAAAACATTTCTAAATATAGATTTTAAAAAAATCGAAAACGTCTCAAGCGAGAAAAATTACTTGTATTAATTATTATTATTGGTTGATGCTATATGGGGATTCAACAAACTAGTTAACTATGAACCGAAAAATCTTTTTATTGTACAGTATGTTCCAAAATTAGCGCAGAAAAAATATAAACAGAATACCTTGAAATGAACAATAACTTTAATACAATTTTTCATTTTTATCTC